CGGGTTTTTTTTTTTTTTTTTTTACTGCAAAAGTCGATGAGTAAGTAACGGGGTACTGGTGGGTAACAGTGGTAAGTCGCGAAACACGAATCCAGCGAGAAAACCGTTGTGCTGTCGTTGGACGTTTACGGATACGCGCGTAAATCTCCCCTCGCGTGTTTCGAGGCGAAACACGTGAGTACTGACGTGTATCTACCGACTGTTATCTATGCGTTTGTCGTACGCGTTAGATTTTGATTCCTTTAAAAAAAAAAAGGTGTACTGATTACGGGACCAACTGAATGTTTGAAAAAACGGATTCGCTTGACTCACTGACGTCCGCGGCACGGACAACTGTGGCGTAATATTATGAGAACTGCGCGTGCCGAGTGTATTTCAAAGTGTTTATGCTATTCCGCTACTCTTTTTTGGCACGCTTTGAACAATTTAGGCGCTTTGTTGTCCCGTTCAAACACATACATAGGCATACGGTTTTTCAGTGTACGCCATTGCGCGGCCATTTTACACCCACGAATTACAAAGCCCCGTTGATTATCAATCAAATAATGCATAATTGCATTGTTCGGGTCGGTATTCGACAGACGACAGACAATATGTAAGAATTTTAAGCGATTTCAAGCGTTTTGTACGCGCCACGCGAAAATAAAATAAAACTCGATAAAAGACTGTGAATAACCCGTCGAGGTACGGCGGCGGCGTTAACACGTTACAATAAAACAATGCGTTTGCATATATTATTACGCCGTTGTTGTTTGTGTGTATTGCAGGAGTTGAAAGACGAGATGAAAACGTCCGACCTCTATCCGCTAAACGTGGACCTGTGTCACGAAGAGGAGATCATACGAGCGTTCCAGTGGGTCGGAGAAACGTTCGGCGGCATAGACGTGCTCATAAACAACGCCGGCGTCGGCGGAAGAGCCACCCTGTTAAGTACGTGTTTGCGATTCGAAAAAATTGAAATTATTATAGTCGGGGGGTCGGGCCAGTGTACACGGTATTACAGTCGAATTACAATCGGTTTCGGGTTTCTCCTCTTCCGATTTCCGGAACATGCTTGCTAAATGGTTGGTTTTTTTTTTTATCGTGGCATATAGCTCATTATCAAAGATAGCGTCCGTCCGGACGCTTCCACCTTTTGTCCGTGCTGTAAGGATGAAAACCAATGCACGCGAGTCGTTCATTTTATCCGGTATTCGATGCGGAGAAACATTTATTAACAATTTTGTGTTAACAGGTCTTTTGGACCAGCTCTCTTAAAAAGCGAGTCCCTGCACAAAAAAAAAAAAAAAAAATGTTTCTTCAAAGTATTATTGAATGCTAAATCATTGTCGTTAGAACTGTTGGAAACATAAAAAAAAAAATCAAAAGACATTGGAATATCCGGAATAACTGCATGGCGTCATTGGGCCGGACTCGGCATAATCGCATGCGCGTAAAAAATGTTCCCTTCAAACAATAATTTATCAAGTTATTTCATTTACGTATTTTGTATAAATACGTGATATTTTTGTGCCAAAGGCGATAGAATGTTATCGTATTTCATATTATTAAACAATTGTAAATATTTTACAATTGAATACTTGCTGAACACGAACCGATAGCGCCGTACGTAACAAAAACATTACTTTTATATGATTTTAAATTCTTCAAGAAAACTAAACACTTTAGAAAAAATCCTGGTCGCGCTGACGTTTTCAGTACATAAAAACACCATAATATACGCACAACAAAAATCAGAAAATATACTTTAAAGTTAGGTGAATTATTGTGTGAAGCGAGCAACATTTACATGTATAAGATGGGCAATTTCCGCTAGCCTGGCCCAAAGACATCGCGCGTATTTTCTCTTATATTACTCATTGAATAATACGAGTAGAAACGTTAAACCTACATCATTATCCCGAGAGTTGAAAATTCGTTTGGTTTTAAAAAATACTTATTTTTTGTGTTTTTGTAAAACTGCAATCGAAAACATCTGCTCACGCATAACACATTCTTCGGACCTTGACAATCGAACACGGTCGTTTAGAAAATTACCAACCAGACGGGAAGTCGTTTTGGTCACACGTCCAATTACTGATAAATACAATACAATACAAATAAATTATAGAATTGAGAAATATTCGTATAGTGTACATCATATGAATAATTTAAAAAAAAAAAACAGGTACTCGACGCTGTATTATTGGTATTCGAAACCTATACAATTAGTATGATAATCTTTATTATTGTAATAAGCATACTGCTGGTAGTTTTGTGCATCACACCTAAAATCTGTCTAAATAAAATGTTCAATAATTACTAGCTTGATTGATAGAAATTTAAAATGAAAATCTTTTGATAGTGTCTATATACTCGTGGAGATGTCAACGGTCATTTTCTAATTTATACATTTTATGATACAAGTACTGAAACTGTACGACGAAAGTACTGTATCTCTGAATTTTTGTCGAATTCCCCCACGAAA